CACCAGCCCGAAGGGTAATGAGCTCCATTTTTAAAGCACGAGGAAATTAGATTTTTATAAATGTCAAACGCAGTTATTGTCCTCCTTCCTTGAAACAGAGCTGAGCTGGCTGGAGCCCATTGTCTCTCAATCAGCTTTGCTATGGATTAGACACATCCCATCTCACACCAGGAATGTGCTTATTGGAAAAATATCACTGCACAAAGCATACAAGCTTTAACACTCAACCCATGTACTAATGGATACATGTACAATGAAACCCAGGATCACGTTACAAACCTTAAGCTGACCTGAGATAATAAGATACAGAAATCTGAAAGGATACAGATGAGTGCTCTCTTTGTGTGCAGCATTTCTGACTACCTGGGATTTTAGTTTTCAAATAAAGGAGATAAAGTGAGGGAAGGTGACTTTTCCTCTTGGCTGCTTCTAAAAGAGCAAGCAGTGTAAGTCTTCTTCATAGTGACAATGCTTGTAATCAGGTAGTGTCCAAATATTTTGTGTATTTTACCGGTGTCTCCTGGGTAACTGCGGTTCCACAGAGGACTTTTCTATTCACTGTCTTTTAGTTCTTTTCCGGAAAAAAAGCAAGAGGTGGTTATTTGTTTATACATCAAAGCTAGCTCTGTGAATTAGTCTTTCATTCATAATGAATGAAAATGTCACCAATATGTTTTAAGACACCACACTTCAGAAAATGCTATCAGTTATTTGGAGTGGACAAAGTGTGAGCAGAATAGAGGGTTTTGTAAAATCAAATCAAAAAATCATCCATTTTTTAAACATCTTACTTGAGGGTAACAATCACCTCTCCATTCTTAGCTTGAGACTGTATCTCATTCCCACTCTGTAGGAGCTCTGTTAGAAAGTAGCACAATCCTTCATGATGTGGGAAGATTTAAGGATGGGAGCCAAGCTTTAGATTCCCTTTTGCAGTGATGAGATAAAAGATTCAAGCTACTTGTGTGGACTTTACCCCATGCTAACCCAACTCTGAATGCTGCATATGCTGTTTCCAAGGTGGTACTGTGTCAAACACATTCCATGGACATGCTGTGTTGGAGACCCAGCTCAGGACTGCTGCAGGATGGCTTTAGAGATGCTGTGGTGGGGATCATGCAAGTCTGTGCTGTCCCCTCTACAGGAAATTCAGCAGATGGGCTATTCCGTCCTAGTTTGTTTTTCTGTTTTTATTTGCAAGTGTGATTCTTTATGGGTTTTTGGGGTTTTTTTTCCAGTTGTCTTTTTAATAGTGTCATGTTTTCCATTCAGTTTTCTTCATCTCAGCTTGTTCTTTTTTCATTTCTGCTTCAACTGATTGAAGTTTCTGGTGTTGTCTGTAGGAGAAAAGAAAAAGTAACTTGAGACTTCTATTTTACACAAGCAAGGGATATTGAAAGATATTCCTAGCATGCATGCACCAGCAGACATGTGAACAGCACTTCCCAATTAAAACTCTGAAGAATTTCTGCTGGTTGCTTGAAGTCCTTAAAAAACAGTGTTCTGTAGCTTGAATCCATGAACACCCGTCATGGAAAAGTGATGCAGCTATTTGTATGGCAGTCATTTTATTTATTTAAATTTGCTTTTATAAGCTAAAATGAACCCAGCTGTTGGAGGAAGACAATGTGAGGATGTTACAAATGTCTTTAAAGCCTTGGACGCCATGAAGCAAATTAAACTAGTTTTCTGTGACTTTGGAAAACTTCTAGTTCTGATCATTTTCCTTAATGTCTGTGCTACATCAACCCCTCTAAATTAAATAAAGAAAGAATTCAAGACATCTCTGATGTAGCCTGGTAGTTAAATGGTAATCAGCAACTGGTGATTAAAACATTCATATGACTCAAATCACAAATCCAAAGTCAGCATTTACATTCCACTAGCCTCGTTAGCTAGGCACTTTAGTTAATTGGTACTCTAGTGCAAGGGTTATTAGTTGGCCTTCTGGGCCAGGGATGTGAAGTGCTGCTGCCTCCCCGGCTGCTCCTCCCTCGGGAACTCTGTGCTGCCCTTGCTCGCTGCAGTGGTCTCTTCTCAGCACCAAGCATGGTTTGCAATGCACAGGTAAAAGCAGGTTTCCCACTTGCTGAAGGGAGCTCACACCCACACTGGTGACTGGTGTCTCTCATCACAGCAATGCTGCCCATCCCTGGGTGCTGCTCTCATCACAATTGTTGCACATTCCTGGTCCCAGTAGGTCTTCAGGAAGCCTTGAGGCTTGAGCCTTCACTGCATGAGGCACCTTCACTAGTGTCTGCAGGCTGCCCAGGTTTGACACCTCTTTGCTCTCTCAGATGTTCTGTGGTCCAGAGAAGCTTTTGTGTCTCCCCATGGAAAGTGCGTGTGGTGGTCCTGCCACAGTAGCATCCACAGCTCTGCTGATGCTTCTACTTGTGGAGACATGGTCAGGGAGGAGGGCAGGAACAGGGAGTGGGTGCATGGCAGGGGCAGCCACTGGCTTGATTTCCTCTGCAAGCCCAGACAGCTTCTGTTGGGAGCACCTGCTCAGCAGCACATCTGCTGAAAGGGCTTTCTCTTCTTGGTGTTTTGGCTTTGGAAGCTGCTGGAGGTTGTAGATTAATTGAAGGTAGGTGACCATGCAATAGGCTGGGTGAACCTGTTTTTTCTTGGTGTTTGCCCTTCTGCCTTAAATACTCCCATCTGATGGTTTTATTTATTTATTCTAACTGCCTGTGACTGGTGTCCCAATTGGGAGTTTGCCTGTCTGCCTCATGTTGGCACAAAAGAGTGAATCTGTGTGTTCTTGGAATGGAACCCTGCTTTTATCATGCTGCATCTCCATTACTCCATATTAAACAATTGTTTTCTTCCTTGGGGTCTCTTGACTCTTATGCATGTAGCACCTGCACAGTAAAACCCACTGGGCTTCACAGACAAAAGAAGTCATTCTGCTGTCAGCAGACGGATGTTATGAAATGTTGCCGTCTTTGTACAACAGCAGTTTTCCAATATTACCTCAGCTGTTCCCCATTTATTTGTAAAACACCACATGGATCTGGTCCACATTATAAACCTAATTTTAAAGAATGCTGGAGGTAAAACAACAAGACTAAGAAAGATGAAGCCTTTCTACTAAGCCTGGAGACTCGTGAGTGCCAGGTTTCTGCCTGAAGTCATTTTAACATCAGGTGAAAAACGGAGGAGCAAAAAAGAAGTGTTAATTGTAAAAGGCATGCTGTAGGCTCATTCCAGGCTGCATGCCAAGGCCTTAGATGGTTCTTTGTGTGAAGAGGATGAATCCCTTGCAATCAGAAACCCCCTGGATATAGTTCTGAGTTGCAGTATAACCGGAGTTCTGCAGGTGGCACAAAGATCTGTCTCTGTCCTTCACAAGTTTTAACCGAGGCACCCACTTTTAACAGTGTGCTTGTCCAGAGTTTTTCCTCTTAAGTGACTGGAGAGTGAGAAGATGCTAGAGAAGAAGAGAAACCTCCAGAGAGCAGATCAGGCTTGGATAAAGTGCTGCCCCAGTGGTCCCACACAGACCAACATCACGTGTCCTGACAGCCCATGGGGACCTGCCCTTTCCTTTTGAGCCTGGGCTCAAGGGTTAATGGGATCTCTCCCAAACGCCACATTGCTGAGTCATGGAAAATGAGCAGGAAAAGGCAGCTCAGGTGGATTATGTCTATCTCTTTCCTTATTCCCTATAGCCAGCACTGCTCTTAGGAAAGTGTGTCAGCCAAACTGTGTGCTGCTCTTGTGCTGAGGCTGCCACAGTGAGAGTGAAGGACCTGTCACCATCAGTGTCCTTCCCCTGCTGTGGCAGATGTAGTTTGGCAGAGCCCAGGAGTAGGGCTGCTAGGATTGCCTCTGTTGTTCTATAGTGCAGTAAGGCTAGTATGGTGTCACCTGTTTTAGCTTAATGTGTTTTTTTTCTAGAAATGCTTAATTTAGCACTTTAAATAGATGAGTGACCTATGGGACATGCAGAAATATAAAAGGAGTTCACTGTGTTTGTCATGTTTATTAATGCTTTCTGGGCACCTCCAGTTAACCATGGTGAGGAAGTTTCACTGAACATAAAAATGCCCCTGTGTGGGATAAAGTTCACAGGTTTCTGTGAATGAGCTCTTATTTTTATTGACATTCTGCAAGTTTATGCTTTTGGTGAGTGGTTGGTTGTGTGTAGGTTCTTCTTTTGGCTTACAAGGCACCACAGTGATGCTGTTTGAACATAGTCGCTGTTCTGGATGGCAAGCGATACGAGCCTCTATAGAAACAGATTCTGCTTTAGGCATCCTCAGCAGCCTTAGTGGGAAAGAAGGAACCTACTGAAGCTGCATTCCCTGCTCCTAATACAAGCTTCTTTCAGCAGGAAACAGGCTCTGACTTCCAGCCATGTGTGTGGCTCTCCACAGCAAGCAGCAAGCCCCACAATGTATAGGCATGAAATGTCTTGTAATTCTAAAGCAGGGTAGCTCAAACATGCAAGGAGAACTAGTGCCTAGTAAAATGGCAAAGCCATAAGGAATTTGAATGTTTACTGACTAGGGGATTTTTTTTTTTCCTGCGGGCTGAAGAGGGGCTTGGGGTAGAGCTGCCGCCTCCATGGCTGGCAGAACCACCCCTTGTGTCTGAGCAGAGTGCAAGGAATGAACCTCACTCCTCTGCTGGTGCTTTTTCTGGTCCAAACCCAAGGGACAAGGTTTGCAAGAGGATATTACTATGCAGAGGGACTGGAGTTAACATGTGCTTTTGGACCCCTTGTCTGTCCCTCCTGAATGCTGCATGGCTCCTCTGCAAAGACAAGAGCCTAATCTCTGCCACTTGCCAACCCATCTTCCCCAGACCACAGAGGCCTCTGAAGGCAGGTGGGGAACTGTGATGGGCAGGGCCACAAAGGACCCTGCCATCCATCTTGCTTAAGGTGCATTAAAAGGCTTTAATTCTTATTAATTATATGTATTTCTGGCAGGTTTTAAATTTTTTTTTTCAATAGTACAATATGTCCTTAATAACTTTCTTTTAAACAGGTTGAAGCCATGAAGAGAGTACTAGAAAGTCTCAACCTTAATATAGTTGAGATGGTGGATGAAAACGCAACCTTGGATGGTGGAGACGTCTTATTTACAGGTATAATAAGTACAGGTAGTGAATTTGCTGTTTACATGTTCTGACTGCCTTAAAGACTGCACATTGTCTGATACCAGCATCACAAAATGTCATTCCTGTGGTTTGCTGGATCGGTTGTTTGCTGAATGTCACGAAGGTTGCTGAGAGATGAGTTCTCAGTGCAGCCCTCAATGTCCTGCCTAATACCTGAATAAATGGAGTAGCAGTACACACACTACAAAGAACAGCACTGTGCATACAGATTTTATTTTGGCTTGTAAAATGCCAATAAGAAAAATGCTTTCAGTAGTCAGCTGTCTGGGGTTGTTTCATATTTCTTATTACAAGCAGCTAATGTTCACCAGACTCCTTTTCAGGACTTGTAAAAGCTTGATGCAGACAATTGTCTCTAGTTCAATGAATTAAATACAAAAAAAAATGCATTTTTAGTTTCTCAAGGCTGTGGTGGAGTTGCCTGTCAGATGTCATGAGCCTTACATGCATGGTTGATTTCAAAGATGAAGATACTGCCTGTGTTTTTTGTGTCATTAAACCCATTAGGCATTTTCTCACATTGGCTGCACACAGGGTTGCTCCCTGCCTGTGCTGAATAAGCCTGTTTGTTTTGATCAGCATCACAGGAGGCTGGCTGCCTGCCTTAGTGCACCACAGGGAAAGAAAGGTCTCCTACAGAGGCAGACCAGGAAGGGAGGCTTTCCTGAGGCAGTGCAGATCCAGCACCGATTTTCTCTGGTGCTGGAGGATGCTGATGACTGCAGATCTGCCTTGAGACCAGAGGAAATCTCAAAGGGAGAGGGAAATGGTTAATCAGTGGCGTACTAATCCAGCCCAGCTGTTGTCTTTCCTGACCCAATGACCACTGCAGAGATTTAGAAAAGGAAGCTATTTATGCTTCTGGTTAAATATCTCTTCTGGCAAAGGATTAATTGCTTTAGATTATCAGCTCACAATTGCAGGTTGCATTCTTTTATGCTGAATTTTCAGTTTAAATGCTTAGCCTGAGAAAAGAAAATCCTTGAAAGATTGCTTCAGAATGTCTCTAAAGCTAGTCCACTTTTTCATTCCAGGCAGAGAATTTTTCGTAGGTCTCTCCAGGCGGACAAATCAACGTGGTGCAGAAATTCTGGCTGACACATTTAAGGTTTGTAGATTCCTTCATGCCACAGGAAATAGAAGCTGTCATTCACTGAACCAATTGAACAATTGTACTGGCTAAGATGTTTGTCATACTCATGTACTTTATTTAAGACCTAATTAAAAAAATCCAAAGGTACAAGTTGCTGAAAGGTTTGAGCATCCTGTAAAGTCGTAGATGCTGAAGTTAGATCTGTGAGATTGCTGCATAACAATCACTTGGATAGTGGGAGGCTGTTATTTTTTGAGAGCACATAAACACTCACGTTCTTCATGTTCTCATGTATCAGCCCTGTGTTCTTATTGCTGGTTCCTGGAGAGGTTTTATGTACCTACTGTTTAATTAAGCATTTTAATGTATTTCTTTATGGTTGCAACAATAGTAGTATTTGAAACATGTTCTGGATTTTATGCCAGTCTCCATTCAAGACAAGCTGGTCCAGAGGAGAGTGTCATACTTAAACAGTTGACACTGTGCCCTGGGGTTGATAATTTTCAGAAAGTAAAATTAATTATGGAGTGTCTCCATATAATTATGGAACTAGGACACTTTAAAAATATTTATAGCACCCTTCTCTATTCCCATACAGGATTATGCTGTCTCCACAGTCCCTGTTCATGATTCTTTGCATCTGAAGAGCTTTTGCAGCATGGCTGGACCAAACTTGATTGCTATTGGATCAAGTGAAGCTGCACAGAAAGCCCTCAAGGTAAAGCACCTAAGAAAATATTCTAAACAGCATATATCTCTTTCTGGTCTTTTTAAAATATCTGCTTAAGGATGCTGGAATTTTAAAATGCATATAGATCAGTGAAAGAGAAAACAACAACTTTGCGTTAGGGCCTCCTGTGTGTACAAACCAAAAAGAATGTCTGTATCAGGCAAGAGAATGGTGATGTTGATTTAACTTCATTTATCTTAAGGAAATAAACAGAATATGCAGGTTATTATTTATAGCTTTTTAGACTAATAATCTGGTAATTTGGTGTTAAATTAAGGGAGGAAGGAGATATAGGCAGACCAGTGGAGATATTTACTTCAGATGTTGCCATGAGGAAACTTGTCTTTTAGAATTCACAGGGGAAGTAAATGTTCCATCATGAAGGAGGAGGAAGAGGCCCTACACTTGTATAGAGTGTTTATAAACGTGAGCAAAATTCAACTACAGTACTGCTTGCTCAGTGCTGCAATTTGAATTTGATCCAGGGCTAATCTGAGAACTCATCAGTTTGATTAAACCCTTCTGCACAGCTTTGCTAATCATGTTGCAGTGCATCAATTTAGCTATTGTAACCAAAAACATTTTTTGTCTAACTTGATCAAATATTGCTGGTAACTAACCATCAAGTAAACACCAGCATTAATCAAGGTAAAGTAATAAGCAGATACATTTTTAAAAGAACATGATAATTAACAAGAAAATCTAGCAGTCTCTGTTGGTGGATATAATCTTAAAAATAAATCAACTGTCAGGTTTCAGTATGCTTCTCTGCACTGGACATTTAGCAGCACATTTGCATGTGTCTGAGGATAATGTTTGCTCACAGAACATGTTACCCAGAACATGTTCCAGTGAATTGGATTTGGCTGTTTGTCCAGGAGTCTAAATCTCTTATGAGAAACTATTGTCAAACAAATGGGTAAATTGTCTGTCTTAGGAATGATGGCATTTGCAGTGCTGCTGATCACCAGCTTCCCCAAACATTTGAATTCTTGCTTTCTGACAATGTATTTGTATTTGTTTACTTGCCACCAAGTAAAAAAAATTCAGTTGGCAATCACCTTCTTGCAGTCTTGTGGAAATGCAAGTGCAAGAGGATTTTGTAGGAACTGGCACTTGGAATGAAAAGCTGCTCCTTGGATTTCAGCAGCTCAGCTGAGCTGTGGCAGTGCAGTCCCCTGAGCTCCTGCCGAGTGTTGCCTGGCACAGCCCAGCATGCCACTCCTTTATTGTAATAGCTTGTTATTTTAAACTCCTCCTTCATGTTGCCATTTTTTGTGACTGGAAATGCAATCATACAAGCAAGATAATTGAGCTGTCTTTAACCATCTCTGGTAATTGAGTTGTTTTCACATGTCACGTTAGGCAACTGCTTCATTGTGCTATGCTAACATTTGACATTTCAAACAGGATTTACCTGCTTACGTTCTTGTTTGAAATAGAGATTTTTCTTGATTGTTCTTACTGGTGCAACTTATGTATCCTTACAGTACTTTAAAAATAGAAAAAGAAATTGCATCTGGTGCTCACATATGGCCAAGTGCAATTGATCATGAGTTCAGTGCAGTGTGTGTAATGTAAAGCTCTGCAAGTGAGCTGGGAAATGAATCCACAGAGTTTAGGATAATAGACCACATGCTAGAAGCAGATAATAAATCAGAAATGACATTTTAACCATTAAATCCTCTTCAGGTTTTGGCAAGTGTAGTGTATTTATTTGGACTGCAGCGGAAAAGTGGCACTTGAGGAAACTTGGTGAAAGAAAGAGACAGATTAAGTGCAGAAAGTACCGGGGCCTCTGGTGACTATGACATCTGAAACTTCAACTTCCCTCTGCTGTTTTCAGCATGCATTTAATTCCTTCTTGTAGTTAAACCTGTTTATAATTCCATACATGTAGTTCCACATTTGAACATCAGCCATGGCTGTTGAGATGATGAAGCCTGGAGTTATTTTTTAGGTCCCTTGGTGAGGCCAGGATTTCCTGTAAACATGTCACCTTTGGGCTCTGATCAGGCACTGTCAGAGTTGATGACCTTGACTGTGAAGGTGAACAAGGACAGATTTGGGCTGCGACAGTGCCAGTCCCAGAGCAGGGAGTTGGTGTGGCAGTGCTGTACCCTGCACTACTTTTTCCCCAACAAGGGACACAGCCCTGGGGTCTTGCTGGGACAGCAGAAGAGCAGGAACTGGCCCAGGACATAATCCAGTGCGGGTTCCAGCAGCAAAGGCAAAAGCTAGGCAAGGTGATGATGGGAACTGTGACACAGCATCTGTTGCACAATTCTTTCTGTATTCTCTTGCTCTATACTGAATCCAGAAAAGCCACATTTGTGACTGTTTGTATTGGTTGATACAGAGCACAATTTCCCTCCACTTTGTGATGAGTGCAGACTTGGACAGCAGCAGATGACTGTGGACACAGTCCTTGATCAGACCATCTCTGTCACCCTTTGGATACCTCAGTAGGAATCCCAAAGCATCTGAGGGTCGCACGCATTGTTCCCAGCTTTGACAGGCTCAACTATTCCCTTGCAAGCAGTGTGGATTGTATCTGGAGCAAGTTCCTACTGATAAAGTTGTTCTCTTGCCACAGAGAAATGAGTCTGTCCTTTGGGTAGGCTCTGATACCAGGCATTGACCAAAGGACCAGCCCTGGGCTCTCCCCACAGGACTGACAGAGAAAGCCTTGGTGTGAATCCACTGGTCTGGGGTCGTGCAGGGTGTGTGGGATCGCTGATGGATCTTGGGAGGGAGGGCACTCATCCCACCATGGGCTCAGTCCTGCAGTCAGCTGAGTCTGGCATATTTCCTCTGAGATCTGGAATAATGGAGTGGCATGTGAAACATCTGGGATTTCAGGTGGTCATTTGAGAGGAGTGTATGCTAATTGAGAGGCAGTGTGGCCATGGCAGATGTCAGGACTGAGCAGCATTGGCAGTCAGGGTGCAAGGCAGAGCAGGTGATGCAGCTGATAGTGTAAGCCCTCACGTTCCCTCACAGACTTGTCCCAGCAGGACCCAGAGCAGTGGTCACACCTGCACTTTGGTGCTGGTCCTTGGTATCTTGGAGTCCAGCCTCACTATTCAATGGGATTTCTCTATGGTCAGGACTCTGTTGGAATATCTGCAGTAGTGCAATGCCATGACTTTAGCAACATACCTTTCTTTTCTCCTGCTGCTTTCAAAAAAAGCTTGGACATGATTGTCCTGCCTTGTTCTTGACTCTCTCATTCAGTATCTTCTGTTGGGAGTGGAGCTGCTCATTCTTCCCCTAAATTATTCCCTGGAGGATGCTATTGCTAATGCAGCTGTTTTGACAGTGATCAAGGGAGGCTTATCAAAACCACATCTTAAGGATAATATAGAAAGGAGTCTCTTTTGGGTAACTGTGCCCTTGGTCTGTATCCAAGCTGTGATCAGAGCAGAGCTTTTAGACTTGAGCACAAGGAGTTGTTCTCGCATTGGCAGTTGCCCCCATTCCTTTGATTAAATGCCTTTTGTTCTTACTCCATCTTGTGTAACTGAAGTCTCTGCAATGTGCCAGATTTTGAAGAGCTGAGTGCTGTTTCCCTGCATGACAGGAGGGTTATAGTGCCTGGATAAAGCAGAGGGGTTCCCAGCTCTGCCACAAAAATGCCTCCAGACACCTAAGGGAGAACTTCATCTCCCTGGTGTTCTTAGAAAACAGTCTGTACTGCCATGCAGCAGGAAAAGGCTCAGCTAAATCTGCTTTTCCTATTGTCTGTATAGCAACTGTCTTTTCTAGTAATGCACAAGTTTGCATGAAAACATTATCTCTTCTTCCTTAAGAATTCATCATTTGTGCCTCTGCTTATTCCCCACATGAAGTCATAATCCTCTATTTATGCTATCACAATGGGTTGCTGTGGAAATCATTACTAATATTAATAACCCAAAGAAGATGACATCAGGTAGGGAATTAGCAGAAAGTGCAGATGAATGCTGACTTTTTTGTAATGCAGGAACAAAGAAAGGTTAGTGAAATACAAAGAAGTGTTGAGAACTTTCCTCTTTAAGCTAAACATTAAAAAATGAGACTCTGCTTCTCTCAGCCTTGTAGATAGGAAAATTAATCAATTTATAATCAATCAATACATGAATCAACATATAAAATTCTATGTACTTTCATTTATCTCCTTCTGATTCTTCATTACTTTATGAATTAGGGGTTCATATAATCTCAGAGGATGTCGGTCTTCACTGAATGCCAAATGACCTCCTACCTTAAAAAGTCAACTCATGTTTTACTTCGAATTAATTTTAAATGATGTAATAGCCACTGCACTTATCTGAGTGTTAGTGCTGTTCATTTTGCTTATGTGCAGAAGAATCTTTGGAAGATAAAGACTCAAAAGTATATATTTATATAGATTATACTAGGTATTATTATATGAATCAGGTTTGTTTGTTTGTTGGTTTTTAAAGGGTGAAGAAAGTGTCCCTTTCAGTGCATGTTCTTCCTCACCAGTAAGGCTGTCAGCCACAGGAGCTGGGTCAGAGGCTGACTGAGAAGATGTCATGTGCTTTGCGTAAATGGGGACTCATGTTTCTATTCCTTTGCTTCTTTTTTTCCCTTTGACTATTCTCTCCCTGGGTTCCTGTTCCAAACGACAGGATGTTCGTGCTCCTGCCTTCTCCTCTGAAAACAACAGCCCACGTAATCTGCTTCCTTTCCTCCTTCTCAGGTCATGGTTTCCCTTTGCAGTGGTCCTTGGCAGAGGTGGCAGGCAGGTGACAGTGTGGCCATGAGGGATGGTGGCCCAGAGGGGCAGAGCAGTGCAGGTGTGCACACGAATGACACTCCGTGCCCATCGCATCTGTGCTGATGCAAAAGGCGTCCTGTGCCAGGAAAAGCCGAGGAGCAGGGTGGGAGAGGTTGCTTAAAAGAGCTCTTCCTTCTGGAAAACATGACTGAGAGGGTGCAGCAGGGAGGCAAAGCCCAAAGCCCAGCTGCTGAGACCGTGG